AAAATTCTCTACAGGACAATCAAGTTCCCAAAGCATAAATACTCCCTTACATAGAAACCTGCATTAAAAGCAGTAAATACAATAAATGTGTGAGAAAGTACTTATTTTTAAACTATTCAGTTTGTCCAAGTTTTTATATTTAAAAAAAAATGTTATCAATTCTCAAAGGTTGGTTTCAGAAGAATAACAACAAAAGTACATTTTGTGTGAGCTTTCACTGTCCCAGTTTACTGCAGGACTTGATCCAGCAGTACTAACAATGCAGGAACTCTCAGATCCTTTCCAGCCCAAACCACTCCGTGATTGCAGTGCTGCAAATGCCAAATCCTCCTGTCCTCAGAGCTCAGCACTGCAATCCTATCAGGGCCTGCAGGTACAGGGCCTTGAGAACAAAACAACACCATGGAGACAAAAGTGCCACACATGCCCTGGAAAACACTGCCCCAGCAGCTCAGCAGCACCAGGGCATCCCAACCCAAGGCATCTGCATTCCCAGCAGGCAGAAACTCAAGGAAAAGGAAGCAGGTGTTGCAGGAATTTGCCAACACTCAGGGTGACTCAGATTTAAAGCTCACCCCAGCATTTGCCTCATTACATTGTGCTTGGTTCCAAGCCCTGTTTGCCATCATGCAGGAGAGGCCTCCCTGGGAGGCCACACAAATGTAAAAGGAGCTCAAAAATATCAACAGCATCCTCTGCAGAAACATCAGAAATAAACAAGGAGAAACTACTCTGTCTCCTGCTTGAAAACTAAGGGGACAAATCCAGTCAGCCAGGGGAAAAGGAGAGAACAGGGAATAAATGAGGAAAACAGATCAAATATCATATGGGACTTTCAAATTAACAAAGTCATAAGGAAGCAAGTTGAACATTGAATATTTCTTCCCAGTCTCCTCTCTCCAATCTAATTGTAAATTCCAAACTTTACAAGCGATCCCACATGGGGAGGGAGCATTTCATTGGATTCCTTTTTTCCAGAGAGAAACTGAACCCACCTCCTCTCTTCTTTTTCTCTGTTCATGTTTAACTGCAGCTGCAATAATCTTCTCTCCATCTCTTTGTTTTCTGTTTCTAACTGAGCTTTCTCCAACTGCAATTCCTTGACAGTTCTGGAGGAAATAGTGAAATATTCATTAGAAGTCACCTGGAAGTCAGTAAGGTATCTGAAGGAGTTTAAAGCAGAAAAACAGAAGCTGGAAAATTTGTCATTACAGCCATGCCCCTCCTTTACCTCCCAGCAGGACTGAAAACAGGAAAATTTAGGACAGGTCAAGTAAAAATTCCAACAAAAAACTGATACATCTGTGCCTGTACTCAGAAAGGTTTGGGGTATAATTATATTAAAATAAACAATTCACTGATTTCTTTAGTATGCTTGTATTATCTGTGGATACACAGGGTTGGTTATAAAACCTATAATTTAATCAGGAAGTAGATTAAAGCCTGAGAAAAGAAAGGCTTGTGGATAAAAGCATAGAGAAAATGCTAGAAAAGAAACACATGATTCTTCTTGTTCTTCCACTCTCCTATTTAATGTTGCATTAAAACTTATTAAAAACTACAAAAACACATCTCAATCTCAATCAGATTGAAGGCACTTACTTTGTTTTTAATCTCACTGAGGTTCCAGCTTTTGAGCCTGGGAGAATTACAAAATCATTGACATTCATGATGCCCAGTGTAACTTCTCCTAAAAAGAGAGAATTTCAGTGATTTAGAGTTAGGAACCTGTTGAAATGGGAATTTGATTGAAATTAAAACAGTAAAAAACTCATTACACATCCAAAAACACTCATATATAGAGGGAAATGGAGCACAAAACTTGTTTATATGAAGTGCCAATAAAATCCTAGAGCAACTGAAAATTAAATTTAACTGAGAAAAAAACCCTTTTTTATTACATTTATGATACCAGGGAAAAGATTTCCTTGGCTGTTTCATTTGGACAATTCCCTAAAGTTCACGTGCAAGCAGATTAATATTAACTAAAACACAACTTTCTTGAACCAAACCTATAGAAATCACCGAGGAGGAGAAAATTGTACCAATGGCTATGAAGTGAAACCATCTCACCTGATTTGGGAAGATAAATTCCTTCTGTCACAGACAAATTGAAACAGAGAAACACAATAACTCACAGAGCAGAGTTAATTCCCCCTCTCAAGACTTCAGTGGTATTTTGAATACTTTTTATTTTTTACTCCAGGTTGTAAAATAAAATACCTTTCCAAAAAGCAAATTCATACAGCAAGGGGTTTAAATTGAAGGTGAACATCCAGAGCTTTGTTGGCATGGAATGTTTGTGGGGTAAATGCAGCTCAGTGCAAAACTGGGCATTTCCTGCTGCTGCTGGAAATAATGGGAAAAGAATGGGATAATGGAAAAAGAAATAAAAGCTCACAGTGCAGAGACTTACAGCTGCCAGGGTGCTTGGAAACTCCCCTGGAGCTCGTGGGTCTCAGCTTCCTGGGGAGAGCAGGACCTAGGAAATGAGAAGGATTGGGAACATCCCAAGTGGAACACTGCCTGTTCACAGGTAAACCTGAAATTCAGCATTAATGCAGATAAAATGTGCCCAAAAATCTCCACCCATGGGGCCAAACACCTCAATGGCACATGGAACTTAAAACACAGAACCTAAAATGCTGCATTTCAGCACTGACAAAGCATCAGATTTGTACACAAAACATATTTCTTATTGTATCACAAAACCCAAGCACTCATTTCTAACGTCATTTCAAAACAGTTATTTCTTTATCACTTCCCAAGATAAAAGATATTATTAATTTTGAATAGAAGAAAGTTTTTCTCTTGGCTAAAGAGAAAAACCTCTCCTCTGGAGAGGAGGAGGTCACATACTGGATTTGAGGGGCACAAATACTATTTAATAGTAAAAACAGAGGGAAATGACACAGGTCAGCTGAGCAAGCTCAAGGAGGGAAAGCAGTTAATAAAAAAAATACCATTTATACAAGTTAACTTTAACATATTCCACTGAAAGCAAATATTTAAAGGGATAACATAAAAATGGTGTAATATCAGCGATAAATATCAGAGATGCTGTGTGAGAATATGAGAGATAAAGAGCCCTACAAAGTTTCAGGAACCCTGGGTAGAGAAAAAACAGCATCAAATTGTAGATAACAGGGGATAGACAGTGATCAACCCTCTGAATTATTCTGAGAAAATACATGAATTATTGAACAGATAAAGCATAAAAACAACTGTTAAACACTGACATTGGAAGAGTCAAAATTACACAAACCCCTGTGGGTGTGGGGAAATGCACACCCTGAAATATCCCTGAGCTGGGCCCTCAGGGCTGCCAGGGAAGGGCAGCAAAGGCAACCCCAAACCCCTCAGAAACACATTTGGAATTTAAATACTCACAGGAGCTCCCTCTTTCTGTCTGGTTTTTCTTTAATGAATCCCTCTTCTCTCTACCAGGCAGCACAATTTGCCAGTGAGGCAAACACTAAAGCACCTCATCAACATAAATAAATCAAGCACTAATTAGCCACATCCTTTCTGCCTGCTCCCCTGCCACACTGGTGCTCAAATTTCATCATTCCAGCAGGTTCCTCTGTGCTGACAATGGATGCACAGTTAAAAGTAACAAACCAAAACCTGCTGTATGGGCTAAACAAAGTTTCAGTCAACTTTAAAGACTACAGAGCTAAATAAACCCAAACTCCACATAGCCTGTACCTCAGCTTAGCTCAAGTCTCTTCCTAATCAATTTAAAGGTTTATGACTTGCAGACAGCTGAAGATGGGTGTAGTTTATGTCACACTACAAGAGTTTAACCAGGGCAAATTCCAACAGCTTGCTCACATCAATAAACCCATCAAATCCAGAGGGATGCTGCTGTCTCTGCAATAGCTCACATCCCATTATCAACACCATGAACGTGGATTTCATGCTACACTAAGTTCCATCCACTTACCAGTACTTCAAACTAAACTATTTCCTTTGAATTATTATTCCAAGTGCAATAAAGAGTTTGTCTATCGTCACTCCTCACCCATTTGCTGTTAATTACAACAACTGAGACTTCTGGTCCTTCCAAACATTTAACATTATGATAACTACTTTAAAGAAAAAGAAAAAAGAATGACATTAACAATATTTAAAAAAAAAATTACACATAAACTTTAATTCAGATATGCTGAAATAATTCCAGCCTTCAGAATAAATTCATGTTCTTCATGTCCCAATATCTGTGACACCAGCCATTTCAAACTCCACTTTCTATTTTTAAACCAATTATTCATTTCTAGGTGTAACACTCTACAACATTCAGTTGTTGTAGAACGTTAGATCAGGACAAAAGTCAGATCAGGAAAACAACACGAAACTTACTAAATGCCACTTTCCCTAAGTCCTTTTACCATTTTGTGCAATTTCACCACACTTTGGGAAGATGCATTATCTTGGTAACTCTGCAAACTCAACATCTCTTTCTATGGCTTGTCAATCTTCACTGTTGTGGTGGTTTAAAACAGCTTGGTTTTTAGTTACGGGAAAAAATACAGCAGTTAAGGGGGGGGAAACATAGTTAACTACTACAACTGTTTAATTGAGAACTGTAATTTCAGCTGTATTGTAAATAACTTCAAACACAAAGGCCACAAGCAAAAGGATGCCTTTCCACACAGTGTACTAAAAAATATTTAAAAAAAAAAAAAAAAAAGAGAAAAACAATAAAACAAAAAATAAACACACAAACAAAAAAACAACCAAGCAAAAAACCAACCAAACAAAAAAACCCACTCCACATTACAAAGCACATTTCTTACGAGAAAAACCTTCTTACCCACACAATGGAAATACAGTCACCCCCCCTCTGTGAGCTGCAGCAGGGGCAAATAAGCAGGTGGGGTAATAAATAACAGATGGGGTGATAAATAACAGATAAGGTGCTAAATAACAGCCAAGGTGATAAACAACAGGTGGGGCGATAAACAACAGGTGGATGATGGCAGCAGAGTCAGAACTTGCCTTTAAAGCTCTGCTCAAGGCCCGGTGTGGGTTTGCGGGTAGTTCTCGGTCCCGACGGTCGTTCTGGGGAAAGAGCAGAGCACAAGGGCAGAGAGAAAATAAAAGTGTAAAAAGCCTCGTAGTAAAGCGTGGGATTGTTTGGGGTATTTTTTCTTTCATTACCGGTGTCTTTTCAAGGCTGATGAAAAGTCGGCGGGGCAGGGAAGAACGAACCGCAACCTAAAACCAGAAAGGCGTGAGAGGGGCAATGAAGAGAACAGGGCCAACTGCGCGGGTGTGTGCCAGGGCACACTCTGGGGGATTTACACAACTCACACCTGCCCGGGTACTCTCAGGGCACACTTTGGGGCATTTACACAACTCACACCTGCCCGGGTACTCTCAGGGCACACTCTGGGGGATTTACACAACTCACACCTGCCCGGGTACTCTCAGGGCACACTCTGGGGCATTTACACAACTCACACCTGCCCGGGTACTCTCAGCCCCTCTCGGGCATGGGCTGCGCGCAGGGAGCCTCGGCTCCTGAAGGGAACCCGTAGGGCTCACCCCGGCGAGGTCTATCGCTATCCCGGGGTCTGTCGCTGTCCCTGGGGCTGTCGCTGTCCCCTGTCGCTGTTCCCGTCCCGGTCCCTGTGGCGGTCCCGGCCCCGCCGCCCCTTGGTCCCTGAGCGTGGCGCCGTTGCCATGACAGCGCGGGAGAGTCCATTGGACGCTGCCGTGTGGGGGGGACAAGGGGAGAGACGATTCCGTGTGGGGGGCGCGGAGCTCGGCTGAGGGCAGAGCTTCATTTATCACAGAACCGGGGAATAAACTGGGTTAGAAGGGACATTAAAGATCATCTAGTGCCACTCCTGACAAGGCGGGGACACTTTCCACTTGTTGCTGCCAATCCTGCCCAGCCTTGGACGCTTCCAGGGACGGGACGGCCACAGGCGCTGTGGGCGCGCTGTGCCAGGGCCTGGCCGCCCTCTCAGGGAACAATTCTCTCTTTATCTAAACATGCCTTCTCTCAATTTAAAACTATCACCCCCTTGTCCTGTCATCTAAACCTGCCTTCCCTCAATTTAAAACCATTATCGCTTGTCCTGTCACTCCAGGCCCTTCTAAAAGCCCCTCTCTTTTTAATGAGTCCCCTCCCGTGTCATTCCAGCCTTTATTCCGGAGTTTCTCAAAACATCCCCGTTTGTCTTTGAATGCAGGCTTTTCTATGGTTTTGCTTTAACCTTTTCTTTGTTCACCACTCTGGAGGAAACAATCTGCTCTTCCTGCTCATTTAGTGCCGTGCTTTAAATAGGTAAAACCTAAATCAACCTCGCTGAGTACAAGGAGGCTCCAAATGGCTTTTTTAACAAGTTACCCCATTATCCACACTATTCTTTAGTTAAGTGTTCAGGACCCACAGAGCTAAACATCCTTGGGATGTTTCATTTTTCACAAAAGCCCTATTTATGCCCACCCTGTAGATTTGTGCAGTTGTAGATCCATGCATCACATCCAGCCCAGGTATTTATTTATGTCTCTGCCAATAAATGATAATTCCCATTGCCTCCCCCTCAAAGGATACCTGGAGTGCATGGCAATATTCGAGTTTTTATCGGTTATATTGCTGCAGTTTATTTGCTTCGAGTCTTGTCCTTCCAGTTTTGGTGGCTTGACCATTATTTATAATTGATGCTCCTTCAGGGGATAAACAGCCTCCACAGAAAAGCTGGAGTTTCAGGGGAAAAAAAAGCACTCCATGATCCAAGCCAGGATTTAATAAGGACAAAATATTATCTGTTTGAAATTTATGCACTCTAAGCTGTATTTCATTTGGCAAATTTGCATTTGTCCCATATGTATTCAGGCTAGGAGGCACACAATAACTTAGCCCGTTTTTCTTTGCTATATAATCTGTCTGGCAGTAATTTTCCTTCATCATCCTGGTTACAGCACAGTTTTCAAGATTTTTTTTACTCTGACAGGCAATTTGAGTGGAGAGCCTGTGGAAACACATATGGATTTATGGATTTTTTGATCTTGAGAAGGAACTCAAGTAGTTTGCATAATGTGTAATCAACCTGAAAATATTCTGTATTCTGGACCTTGCCTGGAGTGTTCTTTTGTAGCATTATAACATGTTCTTCCCTTCAGGAAAATCATGTTCTTCGTAGCCAGATGAATACAGTTTTTAATATTTTATAATAATGCCTTCCTGAAAGGCATCCCATTGTGCATGGGATACTTATCTGTTCTTTTCAAAGAAAGTAGAAGCAATACACTATTCTACATAAATTATGTTACAATACTCAAGAATACTTTTAATTGTGAAGTTTCCTCTAAGAAAAATGCAGGTTTTGATGTAAGGTAATTTCCTGCAGAAAAATTGGCGCTCAGCATCCAAAAATTGAATGATTCGTTTAAGTTTTGGGAGCTTTGTGAGGTCTGAATCAAGGACCTCAGCTGGAGGAGCATCAAGAGCCTTTTGTTGAGGTTTGTCCCCTTGGCTTTACATGCATGGGAGATGAAGTAATGCAGGATTTGATGCTGCCATCCTCTACATAATCTTATTTGTAATTAGATTATTTAACTTCCAGCCATTTTATGTGTCTCCTCCAATGCTCAGTTGTATTTTTTGTTTCATTTACCAGGATCTGATTTAATAAACATAATTCCCTATTTTTGCAAACAGCTTTCACAAATGCAGATCACACAAAGAAGTCAGTGCTTGCCTGATTTCTCCCACAGTCACTTTTATTGGAAGTAAACATAAAGTTTATAAAGAAAATAAAAACTGAAATTCAACTCAGATCCATCTGGTGGAGTTGTACTATAAGTTATAAACCTTCTGTTGCCATTCTCTTCCTTTGTTCTCATACTGCTCCTGACTTAGATTTATTAACTTTGTGGGGTTTTTCATCCATATTAAAAGATTTTTAACTGGTTTTTAAGCTCTGTATTTACAGCCATTGTTAGAAAGGACTCCTGATCACAGAGGAGACTGAGGGACTGACCAAGAGTGGCTTTTAGGGTTGTACCAACCCACATTCCCACTTGGATTTGCAATTCCTCACATTTGTTTCAGGCTTTGGGTGAGGTTCCAGATCAAAATTTCTGAGCTTGAATGGCTATGAGTTACATCAATACTGGAAATGAAGAATGATCAGGAAATAGAATTTAATTTTTTCCAAGCTGCCTTTGATCACTTTCCACAAACTTTCATGCCGTTCAAATGCCACTTTCATGACCATTTACCAAAGGCCAGTTTTAGAACCTTGTAAACCAGGATCTGCAGGAAATGAGCTTTCAATTTACTCTGGAACTCAGGCAAGAAATAGAAGCAACATCATTTTACTTACCTGATGGCTTTCAATGAATACACTTTCAATAAAAGCAGGGTATTTTTAGTCCTCAGGAGGAGATTGTGTTACCTATTAGTTGTGAATTATTTGCTGCATTTTGGCCATCCAGCAAGAACCTTGTTTTCCCTCTTCCTCCCCCGTTTTTGGCTGCAGAGGCATGTTTGGAATGACTGCTCCCAATCAGATGAAGATCTTGTACCTTTAGTCACATCAGATTCCTTTTAAGAAGGTCTGGAGTATTAAAGCTATTTAAATTCAGGGAAACCCTGGACAGCTCCATCCCTTTTGGTTGATAGGAAAGGGATAATTAAGTCCATTGGGGAGCAAAACCCAAGCAGGGTTTGGTTTACTGCCAGAATTTTCCATCACACTTCCCAGAACAACACATTAAATTGCCATGTTCAGTCGTTTTTTAACATTCTTCATAAAAATGAAGATTTCCTTGCTCAGCCAGAGCTCCTGGTTTGATCACAAACCTTGGGCTCAGCCAAGCACAGGCAGAAATGAACTCAACACCTCCAAGCATCAGAATTTCCCTGATGAAAAGAGAAATGTTCACCTCGAGGTGTGCAGTGCAGACCAGGCCATTAATTTGTGCCTTGAACTAAAAACACCCAGTGCCTTTATTGGCCCTGCTTGACCCAAAACTCAACCCAAAGCATCCCAAATTGGAGCCAAGTTGGGGGTTTGCTGTGAGGCCAGGAGATTTTCAGGTTTCATGACCACGTTTTAGGCTCTGTGACCTGCAGCCTGCACATCTGAAGGCAAAGCAGGCTGATACCTCCAGGGAAAAGCACTTTGCTGTAATAAATGGGAGGATTATTTCCAGTGAATACAGCTGCTGGGAAGTGTTTTATTTGCTCACTTTATGAGGGTAAAAGAAAAGAACTCGTTTTAAGCCATTCAGGTTTAAGACAGGCTTTATCTCCCTGGTTGGAGGGAAAGATTAGCACTTATTAGAGCCTAATCTTAATGATATCCATTTATAAATAGAGCTTCAAATTGTCTAAAATATTTAAACACGATGAAATGTAAAGACTTAAGACAGCTGAAGTCTTTAGAGAGAAAAGAAAAATTTCAAAACCTGAAGATTTATCTACAAAGATTAAAGCAGCTTGAATGGCAAAGCCCTTAAAATAAAAGAAAATACCAGGAGACAGAAAACAGAACCTTTTGCTGTGTCTGTACAAGGCAAATTAAGTTATAGATGTGGTAAAATGGCTTAATAAATTATAAAAATTTAACCATTTAGCTGCTGTTTCATAGCCAAAGACATCACAACTGTTTACTTTTTTCTAATCCTGTTTCTCTGAATTTTAGACAGTCTTTGCTTTTTGCACAGAAGACTGTTAATGCATTGAGGCATTTTCAAGTTTTAAAAATAGAAATGGTTTTGGTTTTTTTTCCCCCAAACTGTAGGAAAGAGAGAACACAACTCTTGTTTGTGTGCAGGTATTGAAGTGAAGCAGCAGGGGAGTTCCTGGCTGATCACAGGGTGAGGCAGGTTACAAGCACAGCCCTGCAGACATTCCACACTGAAATTTCCACCTCTGCCCAGCATCATCCTTCCCTTTGACTCAAAAGCTTCCCCATCGTGAGGGAAATGGTGTTTTATGCCCAAACCTCAGGGGAGCCTGGCTATGAAAAGCCTTTTCCTGAAGGTTTTCAGTGGAGGATGGGTGTGAGGAGCAGTGTCCTGGTTTGAAAAGCCAAGTGTGTGCTAAGGAAGGCAGGAACCTCCCTTGAAATGGAAAATGTAAACCCCCTCCATCTGAATTATTATAATTTTGAAGTTAAGGGGCTCACAGGCAAAGACATGGGAGTAGGAATAACAGTTCTTTATTAGGGAAAAAAATTAGAAAATTAAAAGAAAATTTTAAAATAAAAATGCAATAATACAACACAACACTGCCAGAGTCAGGGTGGTGTCCCAGCCCCATCCCATGGGGGCTCAGCCCTCCTGCAGTGCCAGCTGTGGCTCTGCTG